ACCTCACTTGTGACCACAGAGGGGAGAGATGAGTAAACAGACCTGCACAGTGGACATTGTCAATTAAGATGTCTTAATCAGGCCTTTCTGCTTGACCCACACCCACGCAGAGGGGCCTCCAAACCACGCACGTGATCTCTAACTAACTTAATGCGTGCGTAAAAGCTTCACTGTGGTCACATACATTCAGGTTCTTTCTCCAAACTGCTTGAGAGTGACGAGGCTGTAACATTAATACTGCGACCCCTGGAAGACTGACAACACTGCGGTGCGCCTAATGGGGATCTTAATAAAGTATCTATGTACCCCGAGAAACAAATCGATACAAGATGTAGGCCTATGGATCGATACCTATGAAGTAGTCCTGATGAAATAATGCGTTAGGGTTTGGGGAGGCTGAGGCGCCTGTCTAATATCCAGGAGAGTGTTTGCGGTCTCTTCCCATCATCCCTCTGCTGACCGCTTTCCCCGTGTGTGATCGTGGATATAAAAAGAAATCAAACTGCATGCTTAAAAAAGCTGCTCCCTGATATAAGTCATTATTGAATTCCCACCCTTTCTGTCCAGCTTCTCCGGGAGATGTGGTAATCTTTCAGCCATAAATTCACGTTTATATAATAAAATTTAAGCACACGTTATGTTTACTCAGGGGGCCAAATAGTAGCTTGCTTCTGAATGTATTTGATGTGCAATATTCAAGCTATCATAGGTAAAGTTGGCTGCTCCACTGCCGTTGAGGTAGGCTCACCGTGAGCGCGCTTGGGTTTAAAGGAAACCGAAATAGCCTCCTCAAAAATGGAGGAAATTCATCATGGGGTATGTTCCCCCTCTTGCACTAGAGACGCTGCAGTTGTCTTTATCGCCCGTATTTATATCACCACAAAGAGCTGCGCCCCTTTTGAAAGTCTCGCCGTGTTTTTTCTGCTTTTTTTTAATCCATTGAACTTTGCCATGTTGCAGTTGATTGGTCCGTCTTTCAGATTTATTTTTTCTCAATTTTTCTTTTCTCGAAAATGAAAAGTCAACGAAGAGGAACATTTTGGTCAAGGAAAATCCTGTTGTATAATATTCTTGTTAAGAGGGGCTATAATGATCCCTAGTTTTAATATGTGACCGGTGTCTTGTTTTCACTTCACGCTCTCAGGAGTGCCTGTAATATTTTTTCTACAACTTTCAAACCCGCTTATAGCCAATACCAAGGGACATAAAGAGAGCTGATGTTGTCAACAACATGATCATATTTTGTTTGCTCAAATTATTGCCGGGGGTCATATTGGATGTGCAACAATTTAGAGAAAATTCAGAGTTATCCCTTAATGTTATTTTATTTTAATACAAGCCTCCAAAATTGATTCCTGACTTTCTATGTAACCTTTGATCCTTCTGATCATGTTAAAAACGACAACATCACATGGGGACTCTCCTCTTGGCAGAGGTGTCTTCGCCATCTCCTGCGCTCACACACAGACGCAGTGGGATACAGAGTGGATGACAGGTGCTTAAAACACACATTACTTGAAAAGTTACAGCTTAATAGCAGTCGGCAGCTGCTGTCGTGGTTGTGCGAGGAGGCGCTTTTCCCTTTGTGTTAAAGTGAGCCGAGGTCTCCGAGGTCTCCAGCTACAGTTCCGGGGTTAGCGGGTAGATGGCACACTTTTCTTACATTTATGGGCAGAATGCAGGGAGCCTGGTGCACTAAGTAGAGGTGAAGGGCAAGGGTTTATTTTAATGGCCAAAGATAAGGTGAAATAATGTTTAGACAAATACAATTATTCATAAATAAATTGAATAATAAGAAGAAGAAATTATTTTTCAAATAAACATGAACAGAACAAATGTTGCTGTTGATTCAGGCTTTATCTGGTGCTATCGCCAATTTGTTAGAAAATAAAAACGGCAAAAATATAAATGATAACATTAATAATATCAAAAATAATAATAATGATTATGAATATTTTTTTAATTAACGTAAGTGCACTAACAAAGGGAACATGTGGCCCATCCATCCGTTTGACCTATAGAATACATTCTAAATGAGCTGCGTTTTCTTAGCCTACAATAAAACGCATGCTGCATGGGCTATTTGTCATAGTAATAGTGCCAATGTGCAAATAATGTGCATATTTGTCGCCTAACTGGTCGCGTATGTATGTGTGTGTGAAATGGACAGAGGAGAAGCGAGACTGCAAATCATATTCTTATCTTATTAAACAAATAGCCCCACTAATAGCCCGGGAGCCCTGAATAAGTTCTCAGCTTCAGAGCGTAAAGCCCAACCAACGCCGGCCATCAGCACCGAGTCTCCTGCACACACATGCCCCGCAGCCTGTGGCGTTTTATACACTTGGAAAGAGAGGGGGGG